CAAAACACGTAGAAATAGTAGGATTTACTTTGTTTGAAATTATTTAACTGTAGAACGACATGCAAAGTAACACAGAACCGTTGCTGTGAGTATGAAATATTTATCTAAAATATCACAATGTACACGTGCCAAAAGTGACCGAAAGAAAGGTTAGCAAAAGCTGTTAATAATCAAGAACTTTGTTTAGAATTCAAGGAATGGCGTTTAAAAGAAGATATCAAAATTTGAGTAATGTATTATTCAGTCGCTTCAGGGCAAAATTTCTCAAATGCAGGTTAAGGAGAACAAATGAACTGTAGTCAGAGTTGAATATGTGATAATAAATATATGTTTTTAAAAAGGAACTTTCATTTAACAATGCAAGAAACCTACTTTAAAAGAGTTTGTTCAAGATCTACTTTACGAAAAAAAATAAGTAAGTAAATAGAAATGCAAAGAAGTCGTGCCGAGCAGCAATAAGCATCTAAAAAGATGGTCAAAATACAAGCCAAAGGTCGGTGTCCTTTTCGAAGCAACAAGCACAGCAGCTGTTGATTTTTTGTTTGCATAGCAAAAATGGAGCCTTTCCTTAGCTAAATCATTAATATTTAAAAAGAATGAAGTGCGAAGACACTTCCTAGTTACATCCTTGTATGAAGTGTGCTCGCAAAAATTTTCGGAAATCATATTTCAACGGAAATATCCATTTTGACCTATATCGAAAGCAATTTAACGATGTTTTTGCATGATATCTGTACTTAAGGACAGAATAAAGGACTCTTTTCCCCAAAACGGGTTGCAAAAAGGATTTATAATGGATTTAGAAGAGATTTTTTTAACTTCTGTACTGACGTATGTGCGTACGTATGTATGTGGCATAACTCAAAAGGGAGTAGCCTCAGAACGTTTAAACTTTGTATATAGGACTGCTATAACATGCAGTTGTGCACCTCCCTTTTTGGTTGCAATCGGCTGCACAAAAAGGGTATAAATATATATATCCACTCTGTTACTCGTCTCCGTGAACTCAGTTCTTTTTATTCTTATATGTTGGAAAATTGTGCATTTTTTGCCTTAAAAGTGATTAAATTTTATTGTTCTTATCTACTGGTTAAAGTTTTTATGTCTTTAGCGAATATGCATGCAACAGTTGTAGAATTATGAACAATTTAAATGTTTTCTAAGTGTGGCTTAGCCTAATAGCAGCCATATCTGTTTACGTTTGAAACTTAGCAGAAAAGTGAATTAAGTCAGTTTCTGCACTTTCAGTGTCTTTTCGCCGAATGGGACCAAAAGTAAAATTTCAGTTTTCTGCACCAAAAAATCTGCCTTCTTGTACGCTGGCCAAATTGCTTGTTTTTGCGTAGAAACTCTAATTTTAATTGTAAATTTCTTTGGCTGTATTTTGTGTTTTATATTTTTGTATATTTTACAAATTTAGAAAAGATATTTTGAGGTTTTATGCATTTTAGCCTCGCTGGGGAGAGAGAACTGAAATTATTGAATGAAAATTCTATCTCTAATTAAATTTGAGGAAATAAGTTTAAATGAAATGCAGCAAAAGTTACGTATAATTTAATATTTCGTTCAAGGAAGTCATGTGATGTACACATCAATGTTTTTTATATTGCCAGCATGCACTGCTCAACTTCACCTTTTTATCAGTTCTATGACGAACGCTGAAATTTCTTCTAAATTTTCCTTCCGTTTTTAATTAAGATTCCTTTAATGTCAGCAGAGAGACTAACTCATTGATTGCGTCAGTGATAAATGACTTCGTTTGCGACGATGGAAAGATGGCACCAAGTGAAGCAGCCAGTTTTGACGCTGGAATGTAATTGGAGCCTCATGTAATTCACATGCGAGTATATGCAATTATACTGCAGAAAATTGAAAGTATCTTCAGACACAATTGCAGCAGATATAGTTTGAAATTATTGCCATTTAGTTCAGAGTTTAAAAGAGAGATTAATAATAATTATTCGGATTGAGATATTAAGCTCTTATCGTTTATAATCCATCTTATTATTTGAATATTCCCAGTAGTAATATTTTTATTAGTACTACTATTTAGTACCGTTAATTTCGTACTATTTTCATTAGTTTGAAACCCCAGAGTTCATCACAATACCTATATAGAATTTCAGTTTATAGTGAAACACATTTACTTGCAAATATAGTATATGATACATACACTAAATATAAAAACTTCTGAAATATCCGGATGAGATACATTTCGCAAGAAAAGAAGAAGAAGAATAGCCTTGTTTGTTTGCATTAGCTATACGTAAGTCACGTGATCTGTAAGGTCATCCGAATGTATCTCATTGTATATTAATTATTAATGCTGAAAATTGTTGCGTTGGTTCACTATAAAGGTCGGTTCATTTTTCAAATTGTTGCCTCCAAAATTAGAGCCCTGTATTATTCAAATACCTTGCTTCTCTTTATAAAATAAAGAAATATTCATCATACTGTTGCCATCTAATAAAACTAAGCTTTTACTAATAAAATTAAATTAAAATTAAGAAATGTTGTGACGACTAACATTCGTATGTTCTTTCAGAATTTTTAGCAAAAGGGGCGTTAGCCTAGAAGGGCTATTAATTCCGTTTTGGCATTTTGCGTTGATCCATTATAAATATCGGTTCACTTTTTAAATTGTTGCCACGAAATTTTATCGCCCTGTATTATATTTAAAGAAATTAAATAATGAAGAATCTGCATAAATGTATGTAAGTTTCTCATGTTGTGATAAAACAAAGGTACCTAGAGCCATCAAATTTTCAATACTGTAATCTTCCACTCAATATTTACATCTGGAAGCCCGAATTTGGTATTTAAAATTTGTTTTATTATCGATTTCTTAATTTGTAACACTTTAGCGAATTTTTGATCAACAAACTCAACGATTTCAAAGCGAGCAATGGCAACACTGTATGGAAAAAAAAAAAAAAAAAAAAAAAAAAAACATTTTTATCTCCAGCCCGCGAGACTGTGTATCGGAAATTCTAAAGCTATGCTCATTTTAAAATTATTTTGCAATATTGCTGTTGAATTGAATTGTACGGTTTAAGTGCGAAGAACATGTATATAATAAATCAAGGTACCACAAAAAACGTTAAAAAATAAAAAATGCTCCTTTCGGCGCATAATAAAATCGGAAAGATTCCAGATTTTTTTTTCATTTTTATTAGGCTTTAGTATAAAATGCGGGTGTAGCAAAAAATTATTTTATGGTATTAGGCGCTAAGACATTTATTGCCGAAGAAAAGCATTAAAAGATTGTTAAGAATAGCATTATGTGTATATTTTGCATTTAACTGGCAAACTTTGTTACTTTACTAACCAATGTATTCTATTCATTATGTGCTGCTTGAAAATGAGGAAGCGATTCACGTGAATAACGGTGAATGAATTTCTGTATTGGTCGAAACGAATGAATAACGAATAACATTGTATGCTGGTCCCACAAGATTTTGCTTGCAGAATGTAAAGAACGCTCATCCAGATACTAAAGTCTTTTCCTAATGGAAGTTGACGCTAGACGAGTCCAGTCATGTTAGCTTACTGAATTAATGGTAGATATAGCCTTAGTTTTTTTATGCACGAATTATTTAGGACCGACTATTGGCAACGAAGGACAAAGTTTGAAGAGAATTTGCAAAAATTTTAATTGTTCCTTGCCACCCCAGACGAGAAAGTGTTTAGTGACACTGATACCGTACCGAAGGGCCCGGGTTCGAATCCCGGAAATGGCATGGTTGTAATTTGTCCGTCCTTTCATAGGAGGCAAAGGTGATCCCCCTATTAGGTGCCTCCATAACTGACCACCGCTTTCGGCCTTGGAAAGTAGCCAATGTCTATGGACAGTGTATGCCTACTATTGAGGGAAAAAAAGTTTCTTTAATATTGAACCAAAACGTCTCGCTAACATTTATTGACTTGAAATGCGCGACATTAGAAACCATTTCGTATTGCACTTTTTTCCACACCGTAGAAGAAGCTCTTTTATCTGGAGAATATCGTTTTCATTTTACACAGTAATGGAGAATATAGTTTTTTTCCAAGTTTTCATTTTACACAGATTTAATTGTTCAGGTAATTTTCTCTAATTTAAGTGAAAGAAGTTAATTTAATTTGATTTTTTTTTTAAATTCAAGTGAAGATATGGTTGAGCAGGAAACTTCAGCAACTTTTCTTAGAAGGATGAGAATAAAGAATTCAAAACTCTAGCATAATATTCACTAACTGGAATTATATTTGTTAAAAAAATATTGGGGGATATTTTGAAAAAAAAAATGATCGAATGAAAATATATTCACACTACAGAAGATAACAATACGTAACTTTTGTATCACCTCGAAAAGTTTCTTTTGCAAGCTACAAAGTCTGTGATAGAACTCTAAAGTCGGAATCAAGTTCCTTTAACTTAATCAGATGCGCGTCTCAATATTTTTAAACGTTCTTTATTTATGTCTCTTACAGACTAAATGATTATTTTCAATGGAATTTTAAAATAAAGGGCATTTTTGTATTTTAAGAGCTATTATTCAAGAGTTTCAATGATTACCAGTAATGCCAGAAATTAGCAAGATATTAAAATTATGTGAATAATTGCTGATGCGATGGACTCTCTTTTCGATGTGACTTCCTGGTTTTATTCCTTTTAAGCGAACAAAGTAAACAACAAAAGCAAACAGCAGTACAGTTATTAATTTAGAATTCAAACAACAAAAATCAGCGTTATGTTTTCAAATTTTCACAGGACTAGTTTCGATGGTTTTACCAAAACCATCATCTTCAGCTTCAAAAGCGCATCCATTTACGCCAATGCCAGTCTGAGATAAGATAATGTTCACAAATTCTTTTTAAACTTTCTGAAGCGAAGTCAGATGTGACCAGCCAGTATATTTGCAGGCATTATCTTAATACTTGTATTTTTATTTTATCAATATTTGAATATACAAAATGGCAAATTAATTTTGTATTTTGTAAAACTTGTCTCTTTTTTTTTTCAGAATTCTTCATTTTCCTTGTGTTTCAATCACCATTTTCCGATATACTAGAACACTGGACAGACGTCAAATTTAGCACGAACGATCCGGTAAGCACTGCCTGCTTCTATGAAAAGCATTAGTGAACAAAGTGTTTTCTCTTTTGCTGCGTCATATTGTTAGTGCATTTGTTCTGATAACTATGAATTGTTGAAGCATCACTAAGTATTGTTACCAACTTTTCAGTTAAATTTATTATTAATAAATATTGCTGATTAAAACCACAATAGTATTGCTGTGTTCTACTGGTTCGTGGATTTGCAGTAATTGATGATAACACTTGATTAACAATTCAAACACAATTTATTCGTCAGTATTTCCAAAGTCACGTTTACAATAGTCGAAAAACTACAATAAACACGCTGAAACAATCAGCAACGCACCTTTCAGACTATAATGGTGAAGACAGCTTCCCGGCAGAGCACCAAAGTACAGCTCCCGACTCGGTCGATTGCTCTGAAGCTAATCTCGGAACTCGAGATACTCTCTTCTACACTACTATTCCACGTACAGGAAGGGTACATATAGCTCTAACCTACCTTCAGGCAAATCTACGGCATATCGCCAATTTTGTTGTCAAATATCGCCAAATGGGGTAACCCTGTCCTTTTTCTGCCAATTGCTGGCAAACCTGACCCTGCTTTGCTGAAAAGCTATCTGACCGCAGCTGGGCATTTCGCAACAGTATGTAAAATCTTAATTTGTTTAAAGTGAAATATATGACGACTCCCCCCCCCACACATTTATTTGCGGAATAAACTCTCTTTTCTGCAGTAGTACTTTCAATGATTACCATAGACGTTCAAAATGATTTCTCGGATTTCTTTTAGATGACCGCTGATAGTCTAAGATTATAACTTTAGGAAAATTTTCTTGAATTTCTTTCAGGTTTCTGCTCATTTAATATGTAATTATCATAGATTTTCAGACAGTTTTCTTGGATTTACTTCAAATGTCTGTTGATATTGTGATTATCTTAATTAGGACTGTTATTTTTTCCTGTGCCTGTGATACTCTAATTACTATAGACTTCAACCTTTTCTTGGATTTCTTGCGGGTGCCTCTGATATTCTATAAGAGATTTTGGAAAGTTTTTTTCAGTCTTCTTTCAGGTTTTGTGTGTTTTTTTCCCTTGACCATCTATACAGTTTTACCCCTCTATCCATCTCTGAAATGTTTTTGTACATTTCCTTCTCAGTGGTACATAGAACTTAACAAGTTTTGCTTTGGCTGCAGACGCTCATTAGGCGGGCTAGTTTTTCAATAATTTTTTACCTTTTTTTACGTAAAATGGATCTTTTCCCAGAAATGAAACTTTCATCCTTGTCTTTCCATTTTTCATAATTCTAAATAATGTATTTCAATTTCTGAAGACCATTTCAAATAAGAAATGCGGAAGGGAAGGATAAAATATTCTTTACCCAAATTCTGCTTCTTGTAAATCTTTTGAGTATCTTAAAAATGATTTCTGAAACGCTCGATTATTTGATTGTTACACATATTTCGATTAAGATCATAATAAAAATTTCTTATTCCAGTAATGGCTGTAAGGCCTACGAAAACCCTGTAATTACATACAATTTATATTGTTTATGTTTTTGTGTTTAGTTAGCTATTTTTAGTAGAATTGCATTTAAAATTGTTTTATTGCCCCGTGCAATGCAGTACGAGATTTATTCGAAGAGAAAGCTACGCCGGAAAAGTTAAAATACAGTAACACGCGCATTTAACATTTAATAAACAGATATCTAGTAATTGATTTTGCTTTGTAAAAACCTCTAGAAAATAGAAATTACCAGAAGATTCTCGTGATTGATTAAAAAGCCCGAGAAAAACATCTCAGGTCAGTTGTTTACATAGTGCTGTTATTGATTGTAGCGAATTCTCAGTGAGATCAGATTTGCTTTCTCTGCGCTTTGGATTGCGTTCTATTTAACATTTTGGTAGTTGAAAGTATAACTACTGTCAGATATTGTGATATTGTGCCAATATCTCTGAGGAAAAGTTTCAGCGTTCTGTTTTATTTATTGTGATAAGAATAAGTTTTTATTAACTTTTTATCGACTTGTGCATTCAATCTAATACGAACCCGTACGCACACAACAATATTAATCTCTTTAAAAAGAATTTAACGACTTATATTGATATTAATTGTCGATTTGAATAATTTTTTTTTTTCAAAACGTTTTAGAAAGCTTGATTTCAATCTAGAAGTAATTGCTGAATTAACAAAAGTCATGTCATCTCATCGTCTGAGATTATTTATGGAATTCGAGGTATTTACCAGACATATACAATCCAGATGTTGCATTAGAATCAGGGACTGTCTCTCGCAATCAGGAACGTTTTTAGCCTGTTATTAAAAGCATTTGCATCTTCCTTAATTGTGACAGCTGCCTTCTGGAAACATCACTTCTTGATATGTGCGTGGTCCCCGTTTTATTCCCAGTACCTTTTATTTTTGACAGAACCTCAGGATCGTGAAGGTATTTGGCGCCTATTGGGCCAGCCACGTGCGCATTTTAACTACTCAGCCTGTCTCATCGGGATATTAAGCACTTTTTTTTTTTAACTTCACTTGGGGCAATTAGGAGGAAAAAATCTGTACATGTATAATATGTTTCCAGGTTCGTTGGATTTACTTCCTAGGAACTAACGATGCAGCACATCGTTTTGTTAGAATGCGTAAGAAACTAATGAAAATACGTACAGATAATTCTTAAGTTATGCATAGGGCCACTGAACTTTTCTTTCGGTTTCATCTAGAAAAAAAAATTAGATATAATTGTTAAAGAAATTTAGTTGGATTTTTGACTTTAATAAGTTCTTTTATTTATCAAGTTTTACTTATTTATTTAACTCATTACTTTTTTTGTTTAAATTACCTTTTAGTTATTAAAAATTATTAGCCCAAAGGGGCAATTTGGCCTGAAAGACTATTAATTTCGTTTTGGAATTTTGCGTTGAAACCTTTAAAAAGTTATATCACCTTTCAAATCGGTGCCACCAAATATTATCACCCTGTATTATATCTGAAGAAATTAAATAATGAAGAATCTGCATAAATGTATGTATGCTTCTCTTACTGTAATAAAACAACGGTACCAAGAACCATACAATTTTGAATGATGTAATCCTACTGCGAATATGGGCATCTGGAAGCCCAAATTTAAAATTTGTTTTATTATAAATTTCATATTTTGTAAAACTTTAACGAATTTTTGATTTATGATGATTTGATTCAAGGCTTTCAAAGCAAGCGATGGCAACGTTGTAGAAAAACACTTTTATCTCCAGCGCGTGAGACTGGGTATCGGAAATACTAAAGATTTTTAAGATTCTCTTTTTAAAATTATTTTGCGATATTGCTCTTAAACTTAATTTTATGGTTTAAGTGCGAAGAACATGACATTTAATATATAAAAGTAACTCATAAAATGTAAAAAAAAAAAAAAAAAAAAAAAAAAAAAAAAAAAAAAAACTCCTTTGGACCTAATTTAAAATTTGAAAACTTTTAGAGTTTTTTTAATCCTTTAATTGTTACAATTTTGTTTCAGTTTATTAAACATTAAAATAAAATGAATTACTTAATATTTATTTAGAGATCTTTTTAAACTTTATGCCAGTAACTTAATAAGTGAATTAATCATTTATGATTTACTTTGAATTAATTTTTAGGTTGCAAAATTTGGGCCCATATTCGTGTCAAGGACATTAATAAATTCATTATATTAATTTTCATTACATTAATAAATTCCAATATTTTGTATACTTTGAGAGGGAAGATGTTGAGCAGCAAATGATGTAAACATTCTTTAAATCTTTAAAACAATTCAAAATCTCCACAAGTTTAGTGCTACCTTGGAGGAAGAAAAGAACTTTAACAAAGTAAAAAAGGTGATTTGTTCTGCTTCTTTTCGATATGGTAATTTTTATCCACTTAAAATAACTTGTTGTATATTTCAAAAGGATAAATGTGTTAAAAAAGGAATTGCGCTTCGGAACTGCATGATCCCCATTTGGTGATTTGTTTTAGTAGCGAAAATTTGGTAACTTTGATTAGGTTGGCAACAATGATTGCTTTTTTACATTGTTGTTTAAACTTTTCTCAAGCTTTTGCATGAGTTGTTGAGTAGTAATTGTTAAATGAGTGAACTGGAGAGTATTATTTGGGAGAAGAAGTAAAATTTTTAATTTCAAGATTTCAAGATTTTCAAATATCATATTATTATGTACATCATTTCCAACTCCTGTATACTGCCGTGTTCTCTAATGGCTTTAGAATATATTTACTAACAATTTATTGTCAATGTGAATTTTATTTTCCGGTGAGAGCTACTTCATTGTCGATCCCCTCATGGCAGATTTCACTTATATTCCATTTATATTCCAGTTTCCAGTCTCTATGTCAATCTAGACACACAGAAATATATGTAAATTGAGACAAAAAATTTGACGGTTAATGGGTTAATCTAAAAAATATTGTGTCAAATTTGAAGCAGCATGCAGTAAAGGGTTAATTTATGTTTCTGATAATAACAGTGCATTGTTTATCAGTGCAAGAAGTTGGGATACACAGGAAGAATGATATTTAATTATTATTTCCATTTCACCTTTTTAATTGTTCGTATAGTTTCCAATAGTTAATAATTCCCCGCATTGCTGATTTTTATAATATTCATATAATTTGTGTACTTAATAAAACGCAATGCATTGCACTATATCTTGCCTAGCAAATAATCATTACAAGCCACTTAAAATCGGGTTAACTGCAATAAATGTTTAAACTGGAAACAGACTTCTTTTGCATGAGATGAGCTACCTTAAAACAAATCGATTCACATTTGATACAATGTTCATTTTTCCTCCACACTTATTTGCATGCATTTGAATCTTCTTTTCTTTTATTCTTTTTTTTTTATCTTCCATTTAATTTGAGCAAGAGGTCGCTAACGAAAGCTCACCTGTCCCCTGTTTGACCATTACGACCCATGAAGTATCTTCCTCTTTGATAGAGGAATGCTCCAACATTCTCTTCACGTTTGTGGTAGCTGAAGAATTCATGCAATAGCGTCTGCTGCCATTTTATAGGTTTTATTTATTAATCCGTCCAGTCGTTGAACGGCTTTTGCAAAGAACATCTGGTGCCAGTTCTCTTCCCGAAGTTCTTTTTCTCTTTTCCCCACCCAAAGGATAGTTAAAAGGGCAAGTGCAGT